TAGGTCATGATCTCGCGGTTCGTGGGTTCGAGCCCCGCGTCGGGCTCTGTGCTGACTGCCAGCTCAGAGCCTGGAGCCAATTTCAGAGTCTGTGACTCCCTCTCTCTCTGACCTTCCCCTGCTCACGCTGTCTCTCTCTCTGTCCTAGAAATAAATAAAAAAATATTTAAAAAAAATTTTTTAAATGAACTCCTACAGTTTGTAAACTTTTGGGATGGGCTTTTTTTCATTCAGCATAATTCCCTGTAGACTCCTCCAACTTGGGCTTATCAATAGTTTATTCCTTGCTATTGCTGAGTAGTACTCCATAGTGTCGTTTTACGGTTTTGAGTCCCCCTCCGCCCCCATTTTTTACTGTGGTAAAATACATATAACAGTCGCCATATTAACCATTTTCAAGTGTATAGTTCAGTGGTACTAAACACACTCACAGTGTTGCACAACCATCACCACCAGCTATCCCCATAACTTGCCATGTTACCCCGTCCCCATTAAACAATAACTCCTTGTTCCCCCCTTTTCCTAGCTTCTGGAAACCACTATTATACTTTCTGTCTTAAATTTTACTACTCTAAGTACTTCATATAAGTGGAATCATATGGTGTTTGTCTTTTTGTGACTGGCTCATTTCATTTAGCATAATGTGAAGGTGCATCATGTTACAGCATGTTATAGAACTTTCTTCCTCTTTAAGGCTGAAAATATTCCATTGTATGGATATACCACATATTGTTTGCCCACTCATCTGTTAATAGATACTTGGGGTGCTTTCATACTTTAGCTATTTTGAATAAGGCTGCTATGAACATAGGTATACAAATGTCTGTCTGAGACCTTGCTTTCAATTGTATTGGGCATATAACCGGAAGTGGAATTGCTGGATCATACAGTAATTCTATTTTAATTTTTGTGTGTGTGTGAACCAGTATGCTGTTTTCCATAGTAGTATACCATTTTACATTCCCACCACAAGTGCACAGGGATCCTCATTTCTCTAACTCCTAGTTTTTTTCTTCCTTTTGGCTGGGGAAGGGGTACGGAGGTGATGGGCATGGAGGAGGGCACTTGTGGGGATGAGCACTGGGTGTTATATGGAAACCAACTTGACAATAAACTATTTTTTAAAACATTAGCCTAATGGCTATGGGATGATATTTGCATTTACATAATAATTTCTGATGTTGAGCATCTTTCTATGTATTTATTGGCATTTTTTTTTTAAATCTTTCTTGGAGAAATGTGAATTCAATGCTTTTCACACTTTTGCATTGGTTTTTTGTTTTGTTCTTTTTTGTATTATTGAGTCATAAGAATACTCTATATATTCTGGATATTAATCCCTTATCTGATATGTGGTTGGTAAATATTTTCTGTCATTCTATGGGTTGCTGTTTTACTCTGTGGATAGTGTCTTTTGATGCATATTTTTAAAAATTTTTATGAAGCCCAATTTGCCTATTTTCCTTTTGTTACCTATGCCTTTGGTGTCAAACACAAGCAATCATTGCTGAATCTAATGTCATGAAGCTATTTGCTTTCTTCTAAGAGTTTTATTGTTTTAGTTTTATTGTAGGTTCTTGATCTATTTTGAGTTAATTTTTGTATGTGAAGTTAGAGAAGAGTCCTACCTCATTATTTTGCATGTGGATATCAAGTTTTCCCAGCACCATTTGTTGAAAAACCTGTACTTTCCCCCATTAAATGGTCTTGGCATCTTTGTTGAAATCGTTGAACTATATATAACAGGATTTATTTCTGGACTCTCTATTCTATTCCATTGGTTTTCATGGCAATACCATAGTCTTTTGATTACTGTAGCTTTGTAGTAAGTTTTGAAATCAGATGTGTGAGTCTGAAGTTTTATTTTCTTTATCAAGATTTGCCTATTTAAAGTCTCTTTAGATTCTATATGAATTTTAGAATTGGCTTTTCTATTTCTGCAAAAATTTTATTGGAACTTTGATAGGGATTAAATTGGATATGTAGATTGCTTTGGGTAGTACTGACATGTTAACAATATTGTTTTTTTTTTTTTTTAAGTTTACCCTTTGGTAATTTTTTTTTTTTTTTGAGAGAGAGAGAGAGAGAGAGAGAGAGAGAGAACAAGTGGGGAAGGGACAGAGAGAAGGAGACAGAATCCAAACCAGACTCTGCACCATCAGCATAGAGCCTTATGTCGGCCCTGAACTCACAAAGTGTGAGATTGTGACCTGATCAGAGATTAAGAGATGCAGAGCAGAGCAGAGATTAAGATGCCTGACTGACCCACCCAGGCACCCCCAATAAGATTAAGTTTTCTATTCTATGGTGTATGTTTCCATTTATTAATGTCTTTTTTCATTTCTTTAAGCAATGTAGTTTTCATTGTAGAAACCTCCTTGTTTAATTCCTAGGTATTTTGCTTTTTTGATATTATAAAAATATTTTTTATAATTTTCTTTTCAGATTGTTTATTGTTAGCATATAAAAATGAACTGGATTTTTCTATATTGACTTTGTATCTTACTACATTGCTAAATTCAATTTTTCATTCTGTGTGTGTGTGTCTGTGTGTGTATGCGTGTGTACTCTACATACATATGTGTATCTTATTATTCCAATTCTATTTTTCCAATAAATTATCTGTTTAATAAGTGGAGAATTATGGATAAAAACGTAATGTTTTGTCCAATAGCAATGTCTTAAATACAACTTTATAGTAGTTTTACTTATATTCTTAGTAGTTTCAGTGCTCATATGTGAATTTACTAACTATATTTAAAGTTTGATAAGCAGGTGACTAACTTATACCCATCATCACCAAAACAATAAACTTAACATTTGGTGAAAATCTGCTCTGTACCAGACATTGTGCTAAGCCCCTTATGTACATAATCTCATTGACTCAATAAAAGCCCTAGCAAAGTGGATATAATGAGTTCTGATTTACAGATAAGCAATCAGATGCCCTGAGAGGACTAACCTTATAGCCTCAAGAGGAAACACAACCAAAACCTATGCCTACATTGGTCAGATTAACATTTACTTAGTGCTCACTATCAAGTAACGAATGTTCTAAGGTATAAAAATGAGAATTTTTACAAATGACAAAATAAAGACCCTGAAAGTTTTAGTTATGTGTCCAAAGGACCTAGTGAATAAATAGTACACCAAGCTCAGACAAGTTCCAGGAGCCCCATGTTTAGAAATTCCCTCAGAACTGCTTAATTGTACAGACAGAAGTACAAATTAGACAAGGTAGCCACTTTGGACTAAGCAATTAAACATGATTTTTTTCCCCCTCTGACTGACAATAGACCACACTGCCTAAGCAGAGAAAAGGCTAGATTTGGGGCTCTCATCAGCCCTCCCCACCAAGCAGGAGTATCACGTTGTAGTCACAACATGTCCAACATAGGATCCTGCCCTCTTTAAACCCCTCTCCTACTCTATCCCTCTCCATCTCCCTTACCTAGTGGATCAGTCTGCTTTTCCCTTGAGTACGACATTTCCCCAGGATACTATCTGGTTGGTCTGGTTCTCAGGAGACCTGATTTCTTGTTGGGTGTCTATCCCTAACTATGGGATTTAGCCTCACAGGGATTTAAGGTTTATGGACCCATTTGGCACAACCCAGCTACAGTTCTCCAATCATCAGGGCATGGTGGTCAGTCGGTGCTGCAACTGCTGATCCATTACCTGCCCCTTTTGGTGTCCATTGGCACTCAGGAGGTGAAACAAAATCTGCCCCAGACCTTAAGAACTCCCGTCTGCCATCCACGGGCTGCTGTGTTGCACTCAACCTCAGCTTTGACAGGTCAGCATATCTTGGGAGTTGGCTTTAACATAGGAGATAACGTGGACATTTCACTCATCCAGCAGATTTTTCTGGTCCTTTGTCCAACTTTTGGAAATATTTCCTCTTACACTTTTAGCATTCCTAAGATGATCCATTGCCCGTGTAACCGATTTCCCCGTTGCCTTGGTTACAGTAAAAAACAGCAGTTATTTGATACTTTGTCAGGCTTTTTTCCCCAACTCCTTGGAGCCTTGCCTGTGCCACCAGCCCGCTATTTTCACGAGTCTCCGCACCTGGCGGTCAGGTCTGGTCCGACCCACGGCCCTCCAGTGACCAGGTCTGAAGTCCATTCAGGTCCCTGCTGTGTTTCCACATTTTTACCTAACATATAGACTAATCCTGTCGTGTGATTCGTCTTCTTTCTTTTTATATCCGTTTCCTTTCTGATAAGAGTACCTCTGGAGTAGAGCTTAGAAAATTAAGCAACGTCAAGTTTCGAAACAAACAGAGGTCATTTTAAGAATTCAAAGGATGTAGGACACCTGCCCAAGGATGGGGGCAGCCTGGTCTCTGCCCTCCCCCACTCCGGAAATGCCAGCAGCCAGCGTTGACCTAAGGCAGCCCTTGGCAGGGAGGAGGCTGCTGATACCTGGGGCTGAACAAACCTCGTTGCTCCAGGCTCCTCCGCCCTGGACGACAGCCTGGACCTCCCCGCGCCCTGGAGTCCCCACTAGGTGCGCAGCCCACCAGACGCAGTCCTTCGGTGATGGGCTGCGCAGCGGTGCTGCAGACCACCAGGCACACCTACCTTTCCGGAGGTGAGGGGTGGGGCCCGGCGGGAGGTGAGGGGCGGGGCCCGGCAGGAAGTGAAGGGCAGGACCCGGCCGGAGGGGAGGGGAGGAGCCCGGCGGGAGGTGTGGGGCGGGGCCCGGCGGGAGGTGAGGGGCGGGGCCCGGCGGGAGGTGAGGGGCGGGGCCCGTCCGGAGGGGAGGGGAGGAGCCCGGCGGGAGGTGTGGGTCGGCCCTGGCGGGAGGTGAGGGGCGAGGCCCGGCAAGGGGCGGTGCTGAAAGTGGAGCTGCTGCGGGGATGGAGGTGAGGGCTGGCGGGGTGGAGCTGGCGGGGCGGAGCTGACCGGGCGGGTGCTGGCGCCGCTCTCCCATAGGTGCGCACTGGGGTTTGCCCAGACTCTGGACCTGGGCAGACTGGTACTTGGGCGCCATTCTCCACCCCGCGTGGACTTCGGAATTGGCCAAAGACGCCCAGTAGCCGCAGGCGGAGTGGTTTCCGCGGGGCGCGGAGCTCCAGCAGAGTCCCGAGGATGCGTGCCCTGCCAGCCCTGGACGCGCCCCAGAACGAACGGCTGCGGATCGAGGACCCCAAGGCCCCCCGGGTCCGGGACGCGGCTGTGCCGGCACGCAGGAGCGCAGTGGAGAGGCTGGCGGCCGACCGCGCCAAGTACGTGCGGGGCCCGCCGGGAGGCGGCCCGGGCCCTGCCCCCGAGCGCAGCAGCCCCAGGGCGAGCGAAGGGACTGCGGGCGACCCTCGGCCCCCGGCCCGCGTCCCTGGTGTCGTGGCGCGCAGGGCCATAGCGCGGAAGCCTCTGAGGCCTGACTCGCTGGTCATCTACCGGCAGAAATGCGACTTTGTCCGCGGACAGGGCGCCAACAGCTCCATGGGGGGCCTGGTGAAGAAGCTCTTCCAGGGTCCGGGCAAGGACAGGGCGCCGGTGCCTCCGGAGACGTCCCGGGTGGGAGAAGAGGTCAGGGCCAGGCCGGGGGAGGCTGTCCGGGCCGAGCCCGGCTCTGTGGCGGCCTCCGCGGCCCCCGGCGTCCTCTCACCCCCGGCGCCCCCCGCGCCCCCCGCGCCCCCCGCGCCCCTCGGAACGCCCACCAGAGTCCGGGCTGCGCCCCGGGGCCCGGAGCTGCGGGGGGCTAGGCGCGGGGCGCTGCAGCGCTCGCAGTCAGACCTCAGCTCCCGCTACTCCGCGTCCTTGGCGGAATGTGACACCTTCTTCCAGTTCTGCGGCTTGGAGCCCGAGGTGGTGGAGGCTCTCGGGAGGGAGAACTTCTCCGCGGGGTCGGACCGCGTCACACTCAAGGTTCGCAGCGTTAGCGTCGCCACCTCCGACAGCGGCTTCTCCAGGAACAGCGGCGGCGAAGAGGGGCTGCAGGAGGAGGAGCTGACCGAGCAGGTGCCCAGCACCACCTCGGTCATCGACAGGAACGCCCGCATCATCAAGTGGCTGTACACCTGTAAGAAAGCCCGGGAGACGCCCGGCCAGGGGCTGCAGGGCCCGGCGTGACCGCGCGCGGTCTTGGGAGACTTGGACCCCAGGTGGGCAACCGTAAAGCCGGAGGGGGTCTGTGTGCCTGCCTGTGCTTCATGGGTGTGGCCGACTTGGATGGCTCCAGTGCTCTAACGTTGCAAGGGACGCTAGACACGGAGACGCAGAGGTTGGCAGGAGAGCTCCTAATCCAGGTCCCCCGCAGCTCCAGCGCCCTTTCTTTTGAGTGTCTTGCTTCTAACTCCCTGGAATGGCAGTTCTAAGAGGAGAAATTAGGGTTATGTCAAAGCACTTTTCATCCGTATTATTTCCTGTGTTGAAAATAGCCTGAGAGGGGCCCCTGGGTGACTTAGTCGGTTAAGCGTCCGACTTTCGCTTAGGTCATGATCTCGCGGTTCGTGGGTTCGAGCCCCGCGTCGGGCTCTGTGCTGACTGCCAGCTCAGAGCCTGGAGCCTGTTTCAGAGTCTGTGACTCCCTCTCTCTCTGACCCTCCCCTGCTCACGCTGTCTCTCTCTCTCTCTCCTAGAAATAAATAAAACATTAAAAAAAAAAAAAAGAAAAAGAAAAAAAGAAAATAGCCTGAGAGCGCTGGGGTCTCTGCGAATGGAACTGTGGGCATCCTGAGGCTGGTCCACCGGTAACCCTAGGGTGGGACTGCCACCTCCCCTCCAGCAGAAAGGAAGGCTCTCTGCATGGCCCTGAAGGCCCTCTTCGAACGTGGTCGAGAGGGAGAACCCTATAGGATCTTCTCAGGTTGGCATTCAGTTAGCCGCGAAGGTCTCCCTTTAGCTAAATTTTGTCTGAGTTGTTTTGGGAGCTAAGGAGAGTCTTGGTTCACAACAAGAAGGGACATCAGTTTGTCGAACTGGGGGCTGGACCCAGTTATAACTGGGGTCTTCAAATTCCACACAGCTGTGATTATATACTTTATTTGCCTCTTAGGATAATACAGGAGATAAATTTCTTGCCCTGGGACGCTGGTAGCACAGGGTTGTTCTCAAGTTATTTTTCACTGAGGAACTAAGGAGTATTTATCCTTAGTGATCTCTACTTTTCCTTCCAAGTACATGTGATGAAGGCATTTGGGGTTGTGAAGGGAGGAGAGAAAGCACCTTTTCAGGGTCCTCTTTAAGAACAAGAATTTAGGGGCGCCTGGCTGGCTCAGTCAGTTAAGCGTCTGACTTCAGCTCAGGTCATGATCTCACAGTTCATGGTTTCAAGCCCCACGTCGGGCTCTGTGCTGAACTCTGGCTCAGAGCTGGGAGCCTGCTTCAGATTCTGTGTTTCCTTCTCTCTCTGCTCCTCCCTGCTCATGCTCTGTCTCACTCTATCTCTCAAAAACAAATAAATGTATACAAAAAAAGATTTTTTAAAAAAGAACAAGAATTTAAACATTGCACCATGTTTTTTCCTTTTACTCTTCAATAACAACTTGTATTGATTTTTTTAATTCATAAGATACAAGATTTTTGTTTGCCTTTGATATAAACTAATTGAGGACACAGTGTCAGTCTTCAGAATGGTGGGGAGGCTGCTAGATGACATGTTTGTGGACTGAAAAAAAAAAAAAAAAGGCATAACTTCCCTGAGTAGCCATGGCCTTAGCACAGACTTGAAAATTAACAAGGAGAAATAGATTGGACTCAGAAGAATTATGACTTAAGATTTTCCATATAATTTATTGAATATGATTGAATATATAAGCAATCAGAATTTAAATTGAAAAAAATAGCAAGAACAACACACTAACTTGTACTTTTCAGAAATTCTCTTCTGGAACTGAGGTGAATATGTTCCTATGAAGCCGCCATGAACACGTTGGTGTCTAGGAGGAAAGTTGTAGGGACTGGCATGGCTCCAGAGGGCCATGGTCTAGTGGACAGACCACTAAGTGGGGAAACTGGGAGGTGTCCTCCCTTAGAATCACTCCTGCATCTTAGCCTGCTGCTGTCCATAAATGAAGGCAGATAGGCAGATAGTTCCAACCTCTCTACTTTTTGATTCTGTATAGTTAATAACCTGTGTATCTGTGTTTCATGGTTGGAACCTAGAAAAGGAAAACAAAACCATTATCCGCTGGAGGATGTAAAAAGTAAACTTATAGATGAGTTCTCTCCAGCTTGCCATAGCACACTGTATTTTATGCCCAAAGAGTAGGTAGAATTGGTGGTATAAATAGTGTTGAGATAACAACATGATGTACAAACAAAACAAAATAAAACCTGACACTGTGAAGATCAACATACTTCATTCTGATCCCCCCAGACCAAGATGCACCCCCATGCCCAGTCTCCTATGTCAAAGCAGTGAACTTGAAAGAGAGTTTAGGATTCCATCTGTGAAGCAACCTTTTGAAGCCCCTTTTTGGTTTGAGCCTATGAAAAATGGAGCTGGATTAGCTTGTGAGAACATTCCCTTTTATGACAAAGAAAAGTAGCTGAGGCAAGAGGAAAAGTGACAGAAGGCTTAGGAAACTGCCAGGGTGAATCTATGCAGGAGAGGAGAGGTTTTCCCTTTCCCTTAATCTTGCTGGTTTAAATGGGAAATAGGTCCTCTTCCTTCTGAGCTGTTTGTTTTTGCTCAGAGAAGGGAGATGGATGTGACCAAGAGACTCCCCACTGTGGTGAATGTCACTGGCAGTCACCAGCACTGACAGATTTGCCACACAGGTTCGCTCCCCTAAAACCATAGTTTTCATTCTTTGAAACTTCATCGCAACCTAAAGGCTGGCTGCTTGGGTGATTGTGGAGGAAGTGAGTCCCCTGGGCTTCATCCAGCTCACTGAGACTGTACAAAGTCTGTGCACAGTATAAAAATACCCCATTAAGAATTAAATAAGCAGTTCATAAGTGTGTTACTCAGTGGAGTAAAAATGCTTACTTTTCAAAACTGAGAATATCAGAGCTGGAGAATAACTTGTAGAATCTCTATGCAGACCCACCGGGGATCTGTGAGGGATAGTTACACATGGGTAATTTTGGTTTTCTGTTTCCCAGTGTATAATTCATGAACATTGCTCTTCATATGCTGGTGTTTAATCATCTTCCTGTCCTTCAACACATTACAATGGTAGGGCTGCCAAGATTTCTGTCTCTCGGATTTTCTGTCTTTCCCATAGAATACAGAAGATGCTGATATTAGTATTGTTGTAAAAAATAGTCATCTGGTCTTTGGGCTAATTAGGGATAAACACTGTTCATTTTCAAGGCACAAACTCAGATATTCTCACATTTCTCTTAGATACAAGAAGGAGCAGCAGTAGAAGCCCACTGAGAGCTGTGGGATAGAATCTTGTCTTCTCCTTTGCAAAGATGCCCTGGGGTGATAGAGCGAGCTGGGACTCCATCCTTTCTACTCTTTTCTTTTTTGACTACCTGGGAAGCTTTCTAGTCACCATCTGAGAGCAGATTTTACGTGAACAAGTGGCTGGAGTAGCTAGAAGGCCACCCCTTTCTGTCTTGAGGCCTTCCAGAGAGCTGTATGTGTGCAAAGGGTGGAATCTCTTTGCCTTTACATGCTTATTTGAACTGCCTGCCTTGTTTTCATTTTGTCGTCTGACTTTGTGATGGTAAGCCCTGGCCTTACCAAGATTAAAGATAACTTTTCTAGAAATTTGAAAAGTCTAGAAAAAGGCCTGAGGGAAGTGAATGTTTGTTGTCACAGAAAGCAGATGATAGCTGTCTTTGCTAAGCTACCAACTTATTTTCAAAATTTAAAATACAGAAGATGCCACAAAACCAAAGACTAAGGGACCAGGCTTTATAGTATAATGTTTGGCTTTACAGCTTTTTCCTAGACTGACTGGTGTTGATTCACTGCCTTTTCCTTACTCTTCAGGAAGCAAGGCCTCCGGACTGTGGGGGCTCCTTGAAGTATGTCATGGATGATTGGGGACCCACAGCCATCCTCACTGCCACAGGATTTGACTAATGAACCCAGGTGGCTGCATGATTGCTGTTTTCCCAGGAATAAAGCATCCCATTGAAGAAGCTTACATAATTCAGAAGCTTTGAAATGCTATGGAGATGAAGGGAACATGGAACTTGGAAATTAGCTGAACTGTAGGTGTGAAGACACAGCTGAAGCTCTGGGAAATATTTTCTTGCTTGAGGTACACCTTTCCTTGCTTCCAGAGGGCAGCAGAGAAGGGAAACTGCTTGGAAATATTTTCAGAGTCATCTTTTTGACTGGCTTACTGACAAAGAAGTGCCATGATGAATTTTAATGATATCTAAATTGATTTTAAAAAGAAAAAAGGCAAAGAGTATGAAAACCAAGCATGAATATTATAGTATTTACTGCTTCCAATCTGACTGGATTGTTTGGCACCAATTAAATCAAATTTCTGTAATCATGAGAAGGTGCATTCTACTTAAATACCATGGCTAACAAAGAGCAAACACAGACATGCTCACACTTACACCTCCATTCTTGAGCATCACTGCCGCTTAAACTGCAAAAAGCACTTTTAAAATCAGTTGAGGACTACAAGGTCATTTTAGTAATGCCACTCCCATTGGGTCAGAGACATGTGAATGTGCCATTAAAAGAGAAGTTAGAATTGATACCGCTAAAAACTCTGGTTTTGAGAGCTGGCAGGAGAATTGAGAACTTCCTTTCCTCATGTCCATGGCCACATTCCTCCTATGTACCATGTAGAGCATGCCTCCACAGGGCTCTGGTTCCCAACTGTCCAAAGTAGAGAGCCTCAGATTACACAGAACACACCCTGCCCATTTGTCTACTTCCCACCCCCATGGATCACATAGTTATCTCAGATTTGGCACCAGCTCACCTTTCTCTGCAAAAGATGTGTTTGAGATAAGGGACAGGCTCTGGGCCCTTGGCAGACTCCAGAATCAGAATGCTGTCATTAGGGAATTACTGTGGCCCCAACCCACTCCTGACACCCAGGCTAAATATATTTTAGATTTAGAATCTTTGGAGAGAAATTTTGTATCAATGATGACAACCCAAAGAAAATTTGTAATCCAGTTGACTCTTTCGAAGCTTATTGTGTTTTAACAAAATCTGTCTCTTCAGGAACAAATTATGGAGAAAATTATGGAGGGGAGAAAAATGGGTTTCTGAATGGTAGAACATTTTATAAACCAGTCCATTTTGATATGTACATGTACTTATTTAATATAGTGTTTTAATTTTGTAACTTTTACTGTGAGAATTGGTCTCAGCACTACTTAATATTTATTTTTACAGTTATTGGTCTCCAAATAGTTTTCCTTAATATCATGGTTTTAATTTTTATCAGTATAGCTTTAAATCATTTTCTCCTTGGTATTGTTTTTATGTATGTTGTTTCATTGAATATTCAACTTCTGACTGTAAGCAGAGTACTCACTACTCTATAAAGTACTCAGTACTGTAGTGATTTGTTTTCAGATAAATCCCACATATGCATCTTAGGAGGGTCTTTTGGCCTATGAATGTACCTTTCTCATTGTAGACTATTCAAAGACAACAGATTCCATGCTTTAAGAATTTCCTCCCAACTGTTCCTCTAAAAATCCTGCTATTTTGCTGTTGAATGGATTGTTGTTAGTTTAAAAAGATAATGTCAAAGATGAGAGGAGTTTTTTTAAAGACTCTTTATATATGCTCAGCTCCCTTATTTGCAGGTGATCCATTAATTGTACATGTCAGTGCTTCAAGTATAACTGTTCTGTGCTTTTCTTCTTTCAGAATAGGATGAACTGAAACCTCAATCATATTTACCTTAGATAAGAATGGTGCCGATTCACCATCCAAATAATAGATCAAAAAATACATGGACAAATTGGTTGCATTTAAAAGCTCCAAGAGCTTCCAGAAGCATCTGTGCCTCAGTGGAGGTACAGGGAAAAATTCAGCCCCGAGTGAATTCAGAAGCTGATCTCACAGGTGGGGGTGAAGAAGAGGAACAGTGTGGTCAAAAGAGGCCACTGACACTCCCTCCCCTCCATTCAGGCTCTTGCCTGAGTGTCAGGTCCCAAGTGTGTGGGTGGAGGAGAGAATTCCCTTCTTAACCCTGAATTACCCTGGTCTGCTGAGAGACTTTAAGAAAACCACTTTGAAACTCAGTCTGAATGCAAAGCTTATTATATTGCTTTTCACATGGATAGCAATAATTACTAATGCAAAATAGTTTCCTTTGTTCATGAAAGAATAGCATTTAAAATAATATGATTAAACACAATGAAAACAAATAATTATTGATTAAGCAAAGAAAATAGTTTGACAATATCCATTTTACTAATATATGGGTATAGATTAACAGTGGCCCTGACTGTAAGGTACTTATGTAACTATAAAGTTTCCTCATATATATGGTTTTTAAACTGCTGGTCATGGACACTGAAGTAAAAAGAAGGCTTTATTAAACATTGCCCTTTTCAGTAGGTTCAAAGTTCAATGCCATGGTTACAGTTGGTGTTACCATAAAACATCAGGCCCAGGTGATTGTTATGGTGGTTTTTAAAAAGGTTTTTCTGTGGGGCGCCTGGGTGGCTTAGTCGGTTAAGCGTCCGACTTTCGCTTGGGTCATGATCTCGCGGTTCGTGGGTTCGAGCCCCGCGTCGGGCTCTGTGCTGACTGCCAGCTCAGAGCCTGGAGCCTGTTTCAGTCTGTGACTCCCTCTCTCTCTGACCCTCCCCTGCTCACGCTGTCTCTCTCTCTCTCTCCTAGAAATAAGTAAAACATTAAAAAAAAAAAAAAGGTTTTTCTGCACACTACCGGCAACCAGAGTGCAATATTATGTATTTTGTATTAAAGAAATAATGTATTTTTTTTAATCATTTATTACCCTTTATGAATCTGTGCAGTGCAAAGACACTGAAGCCATAGTGTGCATATTGTAATCACTCATGTCTTTTGTTGTCTCTGTTTTTCCCTAATATGAGATTATCAGCAAAAATGAGGAAGCCTTATAGGCAAGTCAGGTGTAGGCAAGTCAGATGGCAGGGAAAGTCTCTGACTCTCCCTGGGAATGGAATGCAGTATATTCAGCATGTTGTTTTTCTTTAATTGTTTCATCAGTCTTTTGCTTGAAAATATTTTCACTCATGTTTTATTAATGTCAATATTGGAAAAGGGGCACAAAAATAAAAAGAAAGCACAATTTGTAACCTTTCATGTTAGTGAACTCATTAGGGAAGACAACCGTTACAAATACCAAGTTTGCTGTCAGTGTCTGCTCAGACTGGAAAGGTAGGAGGAAGGCAGGCAGGGCAGCTTGATCACTAAATTGCTGCCCTGAATGAGCCAGACTGGCTTCTTTTCACCGCTGCAGTGGCTTTTGCCCATACCCATGCCAGCACCCAAACACAGGCATTCTTTGGAGAACAAATGAACCACTCTGCATTTCCATGAAGACAACGGAAAACCCCCCAGGCACCTTGGAAACTCTCTTGTGTCACTGGCTAGAAACAGTGCAGACAGTGCAGAGCAGCTATCTGTTTCTTTCTTCAGGTAAACTTGAGCTCTTACCTCTCAGTTACCCTTTTATAAAATTCAGCCAAACAGCAGCAATGAAATGATGCTCAGCGGTGAGGTGTTTAAACTTTGCTTACATTTTCAGTAATGAAACAATTAGATTTTTATAATATTTAAAGGTTCCAGATTGGAAACATTGAAAAGAAGGAAACTGAATTCTCAACCAGGAACTTATAATTCTGGTCATGGAAGCATCTGGGGGCATCTGATGGGGAGAAAATACAGACGCACCAGAAAATGTGTTCCTTTCCAATGATACTTTACCCCAAATTCTACAATTGATTGTCATCTTCATGTTACCTCCTTGAACATTGTTGTAAAATTAGAATGCTATCTGAAGGGGAGAATGTATTAAACCATTAACAACTATTCATCTTTAGGTCAAAATATAATGTTAATTTCCTTAGAGGACAATAATCTGAACTATAAGAACAGAAATGGAAAGACCTGGATCTTGGCTTCGTGTAGCCTGTGGTATAGTCAGTTTTTAGCTTAAGTAGGATTCTTAGTTACAAGTGCCAAAACAGGACACCATGCTGCCAATTAACCCTATGCCCTACTGTCCACCTGGTGGTATTGAAACAGCTGTGCTACTGGGCAATATTGACAGTGATCAAGGACAGCTCTCTGATAGCAACAGGCAGAATTTACCCACATGCACTTACTGAGGAGCCAAATACTGCATGAGGAACTGGGGATTCTCCAAGCTCCTTGCCATGATGGACTGAACATTCTAGTAGCAGATTGGATACTCCCTAAGGATGGATAGAAGGATAGATGATAGAGAGAGGGAGAGATGATAGATAATAAAATATAGGATAGGCAGATAGATGACAGAGATGGATGACACACCAAAGTAAGGGAAGAAGGCACTGAGGGAGGGAAGAAAGGGAAGAAAGGAAATAGATATAATGAGTGGTGCTATGACTCTAACTCATGAAATTCAATATGGTTTTTGGTTTCTATTTGGTGGCCAGCCCATCTGAACCACAAATGGATCTCAAAGTCCAAATTGTATTAAAAGAATCAAGCAGCAGAGAATCAAACACGCAAATTGTAAATGACAAATACTTTTCCCCCAGAGAGGTTAATTTTAATCTCTAGCAGCCCTTCACTCTGGCAGCCTAACATTTTAACGTCTAAACTAAATAAAAAACAGAACACATTACAAATGGTACCTAAGGGCTTGGTTTATATCCAGTCAGAAGATTGTTGGTAAGGGACTGCAAGCCTTCCCATGGCTTTGAGAGGAAGTCCAGTTTTCAGACAGGGAGAAGTGGCAGTGTTTCCTCTGAGTGGTCTCCAAAGCTGTCTCTGGGGCCCTGTTGGAGATCAACAGCACAACTGGGTGGAGCCAGGCTGACACTGTCAGCACCTGAGGACTGTGTTCCTTCTTAAGCTGTGTGGCAGGTCGGGACTGCGCATCCATGGGTCAGAAAGGGGGCATGTCCAAAGTGCCTGAGGAGCTCTCACAGTGTTTCCCTTGCAGGGGTGTGGGGGGTGCCAAAGAGAGAAAGTTCGTGTGGACGTCTGCTGAGACAGGCAGAGACCACTTGGCCAGAAGCACAGACGCTGAAGGCTGCAAGTAATGCTAGAAATCATGTGGTTCCATCCTCCTAGCTTCCTGGGGAAACTCAAGACCCAAGATCACATACCTGCCTGGTGCAGCTGGGCCTAGATGGTAGACCCCTCCTCATCTGTCCAGGGCTGATCTGAGTCCTGCCTGAGGTGGGAGAATGTTAGTAGGGGGACCCACTGCCCCAGTTTCCCCATCTTTCTGGTGTTAACACTGAATTCATGTCCTGGGAAATTTTTCAGTTTCCAGTAAATTGGGAAGTTTGGACACCCTAAGAAAGGGAACCTTGATCAACCTGTATCTGGATGCTAAATATCCCATTTTACTTACCTCCTACTCTGAGGAGATTGGTGTCAAACTACTGTGAGAGCACATGAAAATTTTAAGCACTTGATTTCATGTTTTCACTCTTGCCCTAAATTAGGACAGCTTACTGTGTTTCCTGCCTAGTGGGGAAGGCCATATGGTCAGGACTGAGGAGGGCCAGAAGTTTCCCCGGTAGGAAGGAAGCATTGAGCCCAGTTTTTGTCCTGCACCTGGGAGAACCTGCCTCTGTGGGAAGAACCTTGTCACCTCAGATCAGGAGGGAGGCTGGCACTTCCCAGGCATCTTCAGCAGCAGGAATGGGACTGAGTGCTTTACTTTGGTTACTCTACTCAATCCTCATGATGATCTATGAGGATCATCATTTCACATGGGAGGTAGCTGAGGTGTGGAGAGAGTTAGTACCTGCCCAGGTCAAAGAACTAATAAGGTGGAGAAGTGAGAATATGAACTCAAATCTGCCTGGCTCCAATGTGTGTTCGCCAGGCTGTTTCTAAGAGGTAAATGCCAACCAGAATGTTTAAAGCATTTCATAATCTCTCAAAGGCATAGACTGATTTAACAGGTCAAAACCTAAGTAGGATTCTGATACAAGATGCCACTCCCAAATTTCTTGAATACCCTGATTACCATCTGCTGAATGACTCAGGTGAGGTAATGTTGTCTCAGGGATGAAAATGCTGCCCCCACATCCCACACCTCAAAGCAGCATGCAAATATTCACATACAGGAAATGCTTTCATGGTTTAGTTTATGTTGATACTTTCATATGAGATGACATGTGTTGTAGAAAGAGGAATAAGAATAAAATCAGAGGGAAAGCTAACAAGGTGTGCCAGAAGAACGCAGACCAGTCTGATGGAGGCCGCATGGAGGCCTGGATGAATGAACCGGATGATGGTCATTTGCTGCCTCGCAAATCCCACCTCAGAGAGTTGTGAATCCAAAGTGCATGTACATCAGGGAATTCTGAGGCCAGATAAGAAGTTCAAGACCTTCTAGATCACTGCAGAGAAGTTTGGCACAACTGTGATTATTTCAGGAGCTAACCACTGACTTTTAGGTAAATAGAAAATGAGCACAGTTGTAAAAAGCAGGACTCCTTTCAATTACTTTGAAATACTGGCAAGTTTGGTACATGTTTGGGTGATTTTTTTTTCAGTAGTAGTGAAAGAAAAGTCCAAGATATGCACATTGAAAGCATATCCTTGCAGTCTCTTGAGTATATCTCCAGGTCATACAAATATTACTGTATTCCAAGCGAGAAGTAAAAGCGAGCCCAGTGTCATGCTCCCTCCATGCAAGGACAGGTGAAGGCAGAATGACTCACATTTCCTGCTGGCTCAGGTTGGGCCTGAGTGAACAGCTCTGACTTGAAGTTTACAGGAAGTTGTTACCCGCTCTGCTAGCATCGTTCAGGATTGCTCACCTAAGGCCAATCTGGCCACAGGATATATTCATGTGGTCTGTGTTATAATCCTGCAGTGGTCCATGGTGTCAGGACCCCTGTCAGAGAGCTAAAGAGCCTTCTCCATGGAAGAATTCGTTCTAATGAAGTTATATCCGTATGCACTACACAGTGAGTGCCTGTTGAAATAGAGGTTCATAAAAGCCAAGTGACTTAAGGGCACAGAGATGCCATGAGTCACAGCCAGTGTGCTTCAGAGATGATGGACTTAGAACAGAAAAATAGCCCTCAAGTGCCTTTCTGTGAAAAGGTGACTGTGAAAATTAGATGGTAGAGAGCATATTTAAAGGCACTTAGCACATAGGAAGTGTGATCATGGTAGCTGCTATTTTTCTAATCATATCAGTCCCCTAAGATTCCAATAATATTTGTCATTCACTAATTTGTATAAAATACATGTAAACCAGTTTATATTGTCAAGATAGTATCATTTCTGTGACAACTCATACTTTTTATTTTTTGGAGACCTCCAGCTTTCATGGCTCTAGAACGTGGAATTTGCTGGTCAGCTCTATCATTCCTTAGATAGAGACCGCTTTTGGCAGAAATCAGTGCTATTTAGAAAGTCCCTTCACCACCGTGGTTCAGTAAAGTGAGGGTGGGCTAGAATTTCAAAATAGGAAACACGAAAGGACACAAACACATTTTGTTGTT